AGTACAGAACCAGAGTTCGAAACCTATCCAACTGCAGAGAGGTGTAAGACAGGGTGACGTTATATCCCCGAAACTCTTCACCGCTGCGTTGGAAGACGTTTTCAAGCTACTGGACTGGAAAGGATACGGTATTAACATCAATGGCGAGTACATCACTCACCTTCGATTTGCCGATGATATAGTCCTTATGGCAGAATCCCTGGAGGACCTTAGCACTATGCTCAATGACTTCTATGGTATCTCCCAACGGATAGGTCTTAAGATGAACATGGACAAAACAAAGATCATGTTTAATGTCCATGTCACACCTATGCCGGTAGTTGTTGGGAGCACTATGCTCGAAGTTGTTGATGAGTACGTTTACCTGGGACAAATAGTCTGACTAGGTAAGTCCAACTTCGACCGAGAGGTCAATCGTCGGATTCAACTCGGCTGGGCAGCGTTCGGGAAATTACGACACATCTTCTCGTCAGGTATACCTCAATCTCTGAAAACTAAAGTGTACAACCAGTGCGTGTTGCCAGTGATGACTTACGGATCAGAGACGTAGTCCTTCACTGCTGGCCGTATGAGGACGCTCAAGGTCGCTCAGCGAGCTATAGAGAGGGCTATGCTCGGAGTTTCTCTGCGTGATAGACTCAGAAATGAGGATAGCCGCATTAAAACCAGAGTGACCGACATAGCCCAACGGATTAGTAAGCTGAAGTGGCAATGGGCCGGCCATATAGCTCGAAGAACTGATAACCGATGGGGAAGAAAGGTTCTCGAGTGGCAGCCTCGTACCGGTAGGCGTAGTGTAGGGCGACCCCCCCACTAGATGGAGTGACGACCTGGTAAGACATGCAGGAAGTCGATGGATGCAGGTGGCTCAGGACCGTGCTTTGTGGCATTACTTGGGGGAGGCCTATGTTCGGCAGTGGACTTGTGAAGGGCTGTAATGATGATGATGATGAGGTAAACAGTCAGACACAGTTACAGCTGTTCAATCCTATATTGTATGATACGTAAATATGTGGACTCATTCTGTAAGTGGTGGTGGGGAAATATCTAATAGCATAAAATAGCAGCGTAATCCTGCTGTATTTTGTATGGTGAATGACAATAGTGTGAGGTTGTTTTTACTGGCAGGCAAGCATAACAACACAACTGCATTAAGACTCTTAATGAAGAGGCCCTCCGTCACAAGTGAAACAGTGATGTCTGCTTTTATCTGTGCAGTTATTAAAATTGAATTAATACTTTTTGGAATCAAATGGAACAAAAAAAAATCTAAATCCCACATGGAACAAGTATTTGTATAGTCTACAATTAATTGCTTCATATCTGAAAGTTTGTCCTTATGCAATTTACATAATACGTAAACTATATCCCCCTATAAACCAATCTATGTTCAACAGTGTAATAAATTAATAAAAATTACTAAAAAGATACTCATCAGCTTCAATCTGTAAATTGCCTAGAGAATAATAAAATTTGTGAAGAAGATTTTGTCATATATAGCTAGTGTTGCCAGGTGTTCCGATTTGTTTGACCACTCAAGCATGTGAAAGCAGAAATTCAAATTATAACCAACTTTAATATGACTTGCAATGAATTTTACAACTATGTTATAAAAAACAAGGCCATTCTAAAGGTGGCAAAGTCCAATAAAAATATAATTTAAACAAAAAATTAATAATTTACATTTATGTAAATTATTTATTTTTTATTAAAATTACTTACTTTATTTTTCTGAAGTGCATCAATTGAACTTAAATTACGATTTTTTTTAAATTTCTACTAGTCCAGCAAGACTGATTACTTGTTATGTAAGATTATATACATATTTAATTTGGGTAATATAACACTATACTTGCACTAGTAGTTTAAAATGCAATAAATTAAACCCTGATTTAAAAAACTTTGTTTTCTGTTCCTCTCAATCTGCAACTCTAAATCCCGATTTTTTTGATCTCATGTGCCGATTTAAAACAAATCAGACCTGGCAACATTATATATAGCAGTGGTGTTAGAGATTTATGTTTCACATTATTAGTGTCATAAGAGTATATGGGAAATTTCAGGACCATAGTTTTGGTACTGTGATTGGCATTGGCACACGGCAAGTGTGACATTTATGGCAAATCCTTGATATTATAAACAGACCCATTTTAACAGTGCACAATTCATGATTTATTTAATAAGAATAATTTCAGATTTATTATTATTGCTAAATTTGTCAGATGCATTAGCAATCAAAGAAATGATATACCCCAATCTCATTAGATACACTTGAGATGCTTCTGACCTATACAAGTATTTAGTCTAGTATATATTTTCATGGTGATTATACTGCCTCCTATGAAATCCACAAGAGGATCACTTGTTTTATAGATATATTAGACAATAAACAAAAACTAAACTCTGATTTTTCATTCCGTAGAATTCTGACAGCTATCATTTTTTGACATGTCAGAGATTACAAACCTTTTTGGCCGGGCACATTTTTCAATTTCAATACGTGTCTGAACATCTGAGTCTATACATACATTTTATTTGTTAGTAAATGTATCCATTTTATTAAGTGCGGTACTCTACATGGTTTTACGGCGAGTGATAATTACGTCCCTTTTCATTACAAACAGTAAAAAATGCACAAGTAAAAATAACATATTTTTATTAAAATCTTTAGTCATCATTAATACTTATATCACTATCTTCATCATCGTCATCATCGCTGACATGAATTATTAAAGAGTCTGCGACTGTGTCAATGAAATCGTCGAGAGTGCACATCTTATCTTCTTCTTTGATTGTATGGCTGATACATTCTTGCCATTTATCAGGAGTAATACTACTTATACTTTCCAGTAATAGTTTTTTAACTTCCGCCATTTTAAAACTTCTGTTGTGTCTTGCGACATGCCCCTTCACTTGAGCCCACACCAATTCAATAGGGTTGAGCTCACAATGATATGGGGGCAGTCTAAGCACAGTAATGCCTTGTGCTGTGGCCATCTCGTCTACAATACACTGTTGATATTTGTATTTCTCCTGACCCACAATTTCCAATAAATTAACTTTTAGCATTTTTTCTTCAAAATTTAAATTTTTTGAAGTCAACCACGCTTGGATATCGCCTTTTCTCCATGCACTCGTTGGTACTTTTTCGACCTTCCTCGAATGATAGGGAGCATTATCCAACACTACTACCGAGTTTGGTTTTAATTTTGGAAGTATTTTTGTGAACCACTCCTCAAATACTTCCCCAGTCATCTCCTTGTGGTAATCTGCCAAGCCTTTTTTTGCCTCAAAAACTAATAAACCATCTTCCAAAAATCCTTCTTCGCTCCCTATATGGCTAACTATAAGTCGCCCCCCCTTTGCCTGTTGGTGCCTTAAGCCCTGTTGTCAAGCCATCGAGGAAAGCTTGTCGTGAAGATTGAATGTTGGTATCACACCACACTTTATTGACGGTATGTCCTGAAAATAAAAATATATTTAATATTTCACTTATACATGAGGACAGTTATATATGCATATAAATTGAAAAATATTACCTGTAAACATGGATTTCTTTATTTATTTATTCATTTTGGTAACAAAAATTTATTAACAAAGTTAATTTAAGTATTACATAAGTACAGAATTCGATTTCCGACTAATACTTTGAAGAAAAGATAGGTTATAAAAAAGTTAATTACCACATAATTCAATACTTGCCTTCGTTTACCCACGTTTCATCCTGGTAATATATAAGCCTGCCTTCTCTTCTATATTGTTTAATTTGGTGCAAGTATTTTTGACGCCATAGTACTATCTCCTTGCGATCTGTTAGCGCACTTCGACGTTTGCGACTTGTGTATTTAAAATTTAAATGCTTCAATACTTTTCTTAATGTTGATTTCGACATAACAGGCATGTCTGGATCACCAGTTATCTCTTGGTGAATCTGAAATAAGCATTTACATTACAGTTAAAATGTAGACAGGCAACACAGGTTAAAGTATAGTTTTAAAACAATGGGGGATGTCAGCAACGAGGTGTTAAAGAATTAGCAATAACTTTACCTTTTCAATAGTCGGAATCTCGTTCCTGTAGAAAAACGCGTGAACCTTTCGTCGAGTTGCGGCGAAAGTGAATTCGTCAAATTTTTGTATGAAAGATAGTTGAGGTCCACTCTTTTTCGGCTTTTGAAATTCTTTTGTGTCTTTATATTCTTTGGTAATTTTATAGACACTTGACAGACCCACGCCAGTCATCTCAGAAGTCTTTTTAGCACATTCCGTTGCACTCCAATCAGTTGTTTGCGGCCAATTTTCTATATTATATTTGTAAATATTTAGAATTATGGTCTTTTCGTTGGGCGTAAAAGCACCACGAGGACGCTTCTTTCTGGGAGAAAGAAAGTCTAAGCCTTGTGCTCTGTCAGATGGGGCTGCTTCCCGGGAAGGGCCAGGTTGTGGCTCCATAACGTTTATAAAAATCAACAAACGATCACAAAACGAAAGGTCAACAAGAAAAAACTTAACAGAATAACAGAAACTTAACAAATATAACAAGATAATAACAACAAATAGCAGCAAACACCGAGAACACATGCGCATTCGAGCATTCAAAGAAGTCGAATGAAAATCAATCAATGTGACAGACGCGACGTGACAGCTAACATTTTTTTAAAAGGTTTTTTAAACCTGGAATTAGTAGACAGTGATGCCAGCTAAAGAATAAAATATTAAGTAATTAAAGTTAATTAGATATATTGTTCGTGATATTGAAATATTTGTTATTTTTGTATTAGGTGACTTGTATAAGTAAATATTTAGATTTACCTTTTTGTAGGTGAAACATAAAAAATACGTAGCATTTTATTATTTATTGCCCTCAAATGGTTCAAATTTGTCTCTTTTTCGGTGGAGAACTTTTTTTAGTAGCAACACTTACGAAATGTCAGAATTCTACGGAATGAAAAATCAGAGTTTAGGTCCGAAACATGAAGTAAAATTTTGAAATTATATTACCTGTCACAGTCATAGATATAGTTCCATCATTGTTTTGTTTAGTGACTATGTTATTGTGATTGTTCAATATTGAATCTTCATTAGTCACTATAACATATCTGTCAGCACTTTCTTTGACAACCTTTAACTCTTGTGTCTGAAGACATGGTTTTAATAATTCTTCATCTAATAACTCAACATACATTTGGTTTTGTTGTGAATCATGTTCACTTTCTTGCAATTTGACTGTACTTTTAGGTATTTGAGCTTCTAAGTCCTCATTCTGTATGATACAATCTATAATAAAGCAATTTTAATAAATTTTCGCAGTCGTTTCAAAAAAATACGAATACATAAATTCTCACCATTTGTCTGTTCAGAATTCAAATGTTGTTTATTTTGAAGTATTTTAGTATCTGTATCATCTTTACTGGTAAAAGCTTGGTTAGGTTTTACTTGTTGACAATTATCTAGACTCAAATGTTCTATAAGATGGACTAAAGTGGACCATTTATCATCACAAATGGGGCAAACTAAATTTGACAAGACATTCGCTAAATGTTCTGTAAGTTTATGCTTAGAATTAAAAGTTTCTTTACAGCATAAAGGACAACGTAACATTACGTCTCCCATTGTTATAGTCATTCATTTACTGACTCCGAGAAAGATATGAACAATTATGGAATATAAAAACAGATGACTTCAGTTAGGAAAAATATTTTGTAAACAAAACAAATCATTTTCTATGCATCTCTACCAAATGCTACATTCAGTTTGTATCTAATTTCTCAACACAATCCATTTTTGAAGAACTTCACACCAATTTAAGCAAAGCAGAAGCAACAAGCAAAGTACAATACAGATTACAGATGTTGTAGTCTTTGATATTTGATATAGGGATCCGCAAAAAGTATCGATACTTGATTAGTATCGATACTTTTACACATACAGAGCTCGTTCATTCGTATTCGTATATAACATCAATAAGTTAATTAAGTATAATTTGTGTTTAAATTAGCGATGGGCAATTATTACAAAACTGATTGAATAAGTCGATTGTCCAGTTTAGCCGATACAATTCAATAACAATCAATGTTAGTCGGGCGACAATGGCAGACACGGTTGCCGTGTCAATTTTAACTACCAATTTTTACATACATAAATTTTTTCGTTACAGCTCATTAGAGCCACCCGGCACCCAACCCTCACCGCCTCGCCTAGAGCGGTTCGTATTCTTCGTATGGATTTGTATGGGCCTACGCTCACTACATCAACTCCGTACTATCACCGGATCGCCTCACTCGCAAGGTGTTCACGAGTCGAGTGGACTGCGAGTGGACCACTCGATGACAGCTCGCTGTTGGCATGCTTGCCTCGCGTGAAGCGCGAGCTGGCAACGCGCGGTTCACGCGAGTGCGATGCCGTGCTTTCCACCAAACCTTCATTTCGAGCCTTTCTTTCGAATGTATCGGACGTATTGTTGTTTATTTTTAAATTGAACAAAGAAAAACTTATAGAAGAAGTTCGGAAGTATAATTTATTGTATGATTTAAGGGTCACTCGTTGATCACGCGAGGTCCACTCGTTGACGACGTGAGGTCCACTCGATGACCACGCGAGGTTCACTGGTGACAACGCGGCATCCACCCGTGGTCCACCTGTCGACTACGAGTGGACGCCTGGCGACGAGACGGTGAGGGTCGGGTGCCAGGTGGCTCTAATGAGCTGTGACCTTTAAGGTCACACAGTCTGTGCGCCACTACTTACGTTACAACTACAGTTATTAGGTATGCGATTGGTGCCAATAGAAAATATAAAAATATACGTTTTTGCATTAAATAAAATTTGTTTGGCGAGAATTGAAATGTCCTTTATGACACAAAAATATAAACAGAGCACTTTAAAATAAAATAAGAGGTATAATCTTAACGAAACAGCCTTATATTAGGTCAAAACTTTTATTTAAATTTTAGTTCATCCAGCTTTTTTGGCGCCAGTCTGTTACGTTTTTGGATAGCTAACCTACCTGCTTTAGAAAAAACGCGCTTGGATACATAACGGAGGATTCCAGCGTGCGTAGAATTAGTTGTTTGTTGATTGTTATTCGAATAATCACGGTGAGGAACTACTAAATCGACAATTTTTCGATTCAGCCGACTGTTTTTTTTTGCAACAATTAAATTATTTATATTAATAATTTTATATATAATATTAAATTACTAATAACATACATACCTACGTCATAATATTGTAATAGAAATTAAATGTGATAGTATTTTATGAAGATTTTCTATACACAAACCAAAAATATAACGTGTTTATACTACTGTATTAGTACTATATATAATGCTACCTAATAAGTTTAGTAATATTAGTTGTCCCAACACATGCGCTAGCGTCGTATTAGTCTGTGCCTGACGCAGAGTTGAATGGAAAACAATGATATAAATAAATTGTAACAAATTGACACAGATTCGTTCCGCCAATTCGAGTTGGGTAACTAGAGTTCAATTCGAGTTACGTGAATTTCAAGTCTAGTTAACTCGAGTCGAGTTTCTACCGAGTTGGCAAATCTCTACTTTTCTGCCACCAGGGCGGCGCCGCTTTGCATGAGGTGTAATATTTGACAGACCTGGACCTAGAAAAAAGGGCGGACGCTGTCTCTTAAAACAATTACTGACGCACCCATAGTAAGTCAGCTCGTTAATACAAACAAGCCGGCGCACACACGCATGCACACCATAGTAAGTCTACCGCCCGTTACGCTCCAAACCACGCCCGCGTAGTTACTCACAAATAGTTACGCGGCCGCCATTGTGTTGCGTCAATAGTTTCCTAGCCAGACTCTGTCCGCCCTTTTTTCTAGGTTCATGTTGACAGATTTTATAGCGGGAAATTAAGTTACAGATTATTGTTTCTTTCTGAAATATTAGTTAGACTAGTTAGACTTTATTTTTTCTACTTTTAAGAAAATCCGTAGATTGATTTATTCGTTGCTAGTTGCACACACACACACACAGCACACACACACACTATATATATATATATATATATATATATATATATATATATATATATATATATATATAAATCGTTTAAAAAAGCTCTTAAAATAACATTTCTTTTATCAATTTCTTATTTACATTTCTATTTAAATACAAGACGTTATTCATCCATGCTACAATCATATTACGACTATCATTTTCAATACGAACTAGTTTTTTACTAAAGCATTTTAAGGTTTTGGGGGCTAACTGGATGTATGTCGTAGTTTGTGATTTGAGTTCTGGAACTGTCGATTGACCTTATCGTGAAAGCTGGACTTGCACATTTGATTATCTGACAGACAATTTTCCAGAAGATAGATACCGAATTTTGTAGCAGAGTTGGCAGTTCATTAACCAAATTGGTAATATATTTAAGATTGTCTACATTTAAGCGACTGTAGCCTAATAGTAGGGCGCAGACCGCGAACTCAAAAAAATCGTGGGTTCGAATCCGCCATTCGACTACTGGCGTGAACCACTCGTAACACAAGCAATTTAAGCTTACCACGAGTGATTAAGGGGAATATTAGTAATGTTTATAGCATTGTTAATACTCTTTAAAAAATATTAGAGTTAAAGTCTCATTGGTTACGGACCCTTAACCGACGAGCATGCGTGTCAAATGGAAGTCTGTAGAATCTGCCTATCCTTTTGAATAACAGGCATGAGAGTATGTAAAAAACTTCCTGAACCAAAGAAACTAGCAGCATACAAAATTACTGTTGCTCGTGTATTCACGAATGTCGATGACACTGCTGTAGTTTTTGTCTGAAGCATCATAGAATGACATTCGTAATGATACAGAATCTGACCTTACCAAAATCGCAATCTGGTTTCAATCCAATTTTCTAACGATTAATGCACTTAAAACTTCTTATATTTGTTTTACTATTAAAAACCGGGCTCAACCGAGAAGTAACTTTATTACAAAGATTCACACTTGCAACATTGACGAAGTTCAAAATAGTAATGTTCTGTCATTACGAAAGTTTCTTAAACCAAGTACTAAGGGATCATTATAGATCAATGTTTAACTTTGCATAAACATTTCGTTATAATAACATGTAGATTTAGAAAATTAACCTGGATTTTTAAAACGCTTAGACATATTACTTCAGATACGCTCATTAACAAAATTTATGTGGCATTAACTCAATTGTTAATAACTTACTGCCTTCCGATATGGGGTGGAGCAATAAAAACAAAATTGTTGCAATTAGAAAGAGCTCAATGTGCCTTATTAAAAAGCCAATGTACCTATATGCCTTATTTTCCAACACAAAGTCTGTATTTAAAACTTGATTTAGTGAGTATAACAAAATTATATATTTTACACACAATATTAAAAAGGCATAAAGGTTTGATTTTTGACTCAAATATTTTGAACAAAAGAAGAAAAGACATTTTACTACAATTGCCATTAAAGTGACCATTATAGTTACTAATAACAAAAATGTTACAATCCTGCGACAAAGACACAGGTATACTTAGTAATATGGTTCCCTTGAGTACTTCGCCTTGTAGTGGCGGTCTAAGAATATCTATTACCCATATCATTACGTGGGTGTCGTAAGAGGCGACAGAAAGAAAAAAATAAAAAGATGAGTAGCAGCATGTTCCTTATGACGACCAAAAACAAAAAAACTGTGGTTGCCTCGCAACTATGACAAAAATCCCCCATATGAGCCAAGTATGGTAAGTAAGTATAGTATGTATACACACGAGTAGTAGAAATACCAAGGACTTAAAAGTTACAGCTTATATACGTTCCACTGCTGGGCACAGGCCTCTCCTCATTTCTGAGAGGGTTTTTAGGACAAGGAAGTGTCCGCTGCGCTGCCCCAATGCGTGTTGGCGAACTTCACAAATTCAAATGTTTTTATGTTATATCTCACACATGCGGGTTTCCTCACGATGTTTTCCTTCACCGCCAAGTACACGGTAAGAAAGAGCCGTGGTAGCTCAGATGGTTAGCGCTCGCTCTAAATTTCACAGTACGCGAGCAAACCGGGTTCGATCCCCGCCGGCCCCAATGAAATTGTTAATTGCAATTTTAAGTGCTGATTTACCAAGGACTGCAAGTTAAAAAAAGCGCTGCCTTACGAAGGCACAGAAAAACTTATAATATGTTATTACAAAGGATGAAAAAAATTCATAGACACACGCTCACATACATCTATTTTTGAATAATTTAAAACTTTTCTTTAGTTTTTGTATGTATATGTAATCTCATGTTTCTAGTACGTTTTGTATGGCTATGGAAGACCGGGAGTCCCCGACACAAGTGCCTAAAGGTACTTAAATGATGCTGATTTATGCAAATTGTTAAATCTCAAATAAAACCAAATCAAATAAAGATTATTATTATTATTTAAAAATACGTATCAAATATATGTTAAATTTAGAAAGTATATATTTTAAATGGATATTTTGATGTAGTATACGAAAAACATATTTTGGTTATAAAATACTTCGAGGTGTAAATAAGTTATCCTTTTCTTAGCTAGTTGCTTATGTCCTTATTTACTGCACTCTGCAAAGCGGTTCCACAATTTTATCGAATATTTAATCGGTTTTCACGAGTGCTTTGGATGACTGTTGAGGGACGCAAGCAAACTATAGTCATCGCGTTATAGCGTGGTACGGGTGACAGCTTACGGTTTAGCGTGTTTAGAGATGGAAGAATGTTAAATCGATTTAAAAAATAAAGCAACTAACGATATAGAAAGCAAAACAAAAATTATCGATTACAGATATAATTATTCATATTTGTTCTTATAATTATCGATCGAAGTACAGACTTAGGAGGTTACTAAAAAGCAGGACATTTGCCGACCCGATCAAGAGTGCCAATTCACTCTTCAAAAGTGATGCGATTTTGTGAATTATGTGTCTGGGCGTGTAAACTATTAGAGAAAACGATGAAACAAGTGCTTCGATATTGATATAAACTTCAAGTTATTTTGATCTTTTGGGCGCTTTATGAACTTGAGTGACTATCATCATCAACTATTCTCTGGGTGAGCTATCGTTAAAATCCCCAAATACTTCACAATGTGGCGCATCAGCTTATTGTGAAGAAAAAATCTATAAAAATCAATGTCTCGAAAGAAATTATAGGCTCAGAAGGGCTAGAACCCAGAAACTTAAAGCCAGTTCAATAAATAAAATAAATAGCTACATATCGCGTACATATCTATTTATCTATGGTTTTACTTTTATTTATTCGCCATTTTGTCGTGGCAATTTGTTTTCTTTGTTTATCCGATATTTGGCATTTTGAACTAGTCTCATTTCCTTTTTTAATTTATTGCATTTGCATAATATTGTTGTACTATAGCAACAAGTCTTAACTGTATTAGAGATAACGGAGTTTGGGTAAAATATATAATATAACATTTTACGCTGTTTGTGTATAGGGTTTTCGCGGGTAAATTCAACTGATATAAAATGTTAGGGAAAAGAATGCATCATAACAGTAAAGGACGGTTAGCTAGCAAAGGCCATGATACCGGCAAGCCGTCGAGTCCATGTGTTTCACCGTATAGCAAGCCTGCGAAAATACCAGGAGTAATCTCGGTCGGTAAAACTAAGGTCGAAGTTTGTTCTATTCCATACATCAGACTTCAGGATAATGCAGTAATCCTACCTCGATTGACTGCAATATCCACTAGATCTGCCGACGAGCCGATTGGAATGGATGAACTTGATGCATTACAGTTAGAATTAGAATCATTATTGTGCAACACTGCATTACGTATAAGATATTTTCAAGGTGAAATCGAAAGCATTGACACAAATGAATCGAAAAGGGAGAAAAAAGGTAAAGCTGCTGGAAAACAATTACAATATCCTGTTAAAAGAAAATTTCAAGATGATAAATTAGTTAAAACCAAAGATTATACAAAATTATCAAATCAACCTAAACTACCAAAATTCAAAAATTTTCCTAATGCTTCCTCTGGAGTCTCACACAATAACTTTTCTAATGACAACACAATCAGTTCAGATAATTCAATGAAGCTTGAACTATCACAGTTTTCCTTACCAAAGAATAATATTCCATATAAATTCTGGAATTCGGTTGATCCCTATTGTGCACCTGTTACATTAGATGACATAAAATTTTTAGAATCCTTACTTGCTCAAAGTAGCAACACTACCTTGCCACCCATCCCACCACTTGGAAGGCACTATTCTGAAGTATGGGCTGATGAACATTTAACAGAAGATCAAAATGCAGGCAATCCTAATAAGCTCAAATCATCTGGTATGTCACCAGAGGCAACCAGTATACGAAAAAAATTTGAAAAAAGTAATGAGAACATGATTACAGGTCCTTTAACTCAGAGATTAGTATCTGCTTTGATGGAGGAAAATGTCATGGCCTATGAGATACCTGATATTAAAGTTAAGCAACCATCAAATGTTAAAAGTAGTTATAAAAATTCGCTTACCTTAGAGAAGTGCTTAAGAAAAGAGTTGGTTGAACAAGGCATATTAGATCCTGAAGACTTACCTCCATTAACTAATCCAGCAGATGATGAAATTTTAGCAGAGATAAAAAAATGTCAAACTGAATTAACCGCTGTAAGAAAAGATAACTGCCGTAATCTTAAAAACCTGATTGGATTGTGTAAACAAGAAATGATCAGATTGAATTTAAAAAAGCAACTTGATCAAGTGGATATGGAGTGTATTGACATATATAAGAAGATGGTAGCAGCTAAACAAAAGAAACGCCCAATTACTAAGAAAGAAAAAGAAGATGCATGGAGGGCCATAAATGAACAAATAAGACTTAACAAAGAGATCAATGCTTTGCCAATAACAGGACCAAATACAAGTTAAAAAATTAATACTACTATATGTAATAAAATTAATCAAAAATATGTTTAGCTTAAAAATGATAATAAACAATGCTAATTAATTCATCTGTAATTTTATTTTTATAATACATTGACATGATATGACGCCATGTAGCAGTGACATATGAGAATCCACAACCTTAAATCATCTGGTGGATATTGTAAGACAGAAGATGGCAGATGCACTTTTGTGATAACTACTTAAAGATTTAACAAAAAACTGGGTTCGTCAATTTAGTGTGATAACTGGTAAATATCCTACTATGAGACAATCAGTAGGATTAATATGATTCTTCTTTTATTAAATTGGTCAAACTTAAATTAAATCATTTACTAATTCCAATTTTAAATTTTTTTTAGTATGCCACTAAAAAAGGGTAAAAAAAATGTTTAAACAAAATTTAAAAACCATCTTCAAAAACTAAAAAGAATAAAATATTTGCACATTTATATTAAGGTATACAAAATTAGAGAGATAAAATATTTAATTTCTTTTTAAGTATCCCTTAACTCTTCTGGTGCCTCTTTTAACAAATTTGGGAGATTGTTATATAGGAACTGCTAAATAACTGTGGTTTGATTCCCCATCAATTTGATTGAGTCTATTATTTTTCTCTTTTCCTCTTCTCCGGCTTGAGACCGGCTGCACCAAATGCACAGGCAGTTTGCAAACTCTCTTACTGAGAAATTAGATTTCAAGATTACGTTATTGCCGACAAATGCTGGCAAATATTGAAGACTTGCAGTTTTATAAAAAAATTTTTTAGAGGGATGAATCGATTAAATATTACAATTTTAAACATTTTTTTATTACATTTTAAACTGGTGCTGTGTCCAGTCTTCACTGTGAAGATTGTGGAGATTTAGATTACTCTGTCGAGAGTCGATTCATCCCTCTAAAAAATTTAATTATAAAACTGCAAGTCTTCAATATTTGCCAGCATTTGTCGGCAATAACGCAATCTTGAAATCTAATTTCTCAGTAAGAGAGTTTGCTGCAAACTGCCTGTGCATTTGGTGCAGCCGGTCTCAAGCCGGAGAAAAGAGGAGGGTTGGTAAGAAGAGACAAATACAAACATAAAAATGAGTCAACGTCGAACCTTGGGCGGTGGTTAATTAACCCAATCCCGAGACTCACTTAAAAAGTTTCTACTGGTCTTGGAGCAACAATTCAGTGGCGTTAGGGGCTAAATCCGTGGGTGTCCTAAGTCCAAACACACTAATGTGCGCGGTTGAGCGTCGTACGCGGGTATGAAGGAGTCTAGAGGGATAAGCCGATCATTATGGGGTATTTTGTTATAGAATAAGGGTGACTAACGAGCACACAGTCCACCTGATGGTATGTGGATGCTGTGGCCCATAATCAAAACGCAGATGCGTTTTCACCCCTGAGGACTAAGATGGAATGCTTCGTTTCCAGTGAAAAAGGGTCTCCGGATCTCTACACTCACCATGCGAAAAAGCAGTATTAAGCTGCTATTTTACGCTGGTATTGTGAGAGCGTGGTTCTTTCCCGGTCGAGCCGACCCATTCGTGCTACAACCATAATATAGCTGCAGCGTGGCTCTACCACGTATAAAACCACGTATATAGTGGCGAGAGAGGCAACTCGCCCTCTTTGGTCCGGATTTCAAGCTAAACAGATTTCAGACGCAGATTTCAGTTTCTCTGAAAAGTGCTGGGTCATGGTAAGAAGCCATGGTATGGAGTAAGTGACAGTTACTCACGCAGTGAGGATGGGCCTTTTCAGCCCTATCTGCCAGCTGGATCAAGCACCCGATATCGCACTTTGAGCCAATTACGTGTACTCTTATTTTCCCCCGGTAACTCTAAAACTAACATCAAGCTGTCCTTGCGGTGCATGGGGTTGGTACAAAAATTTAGCCCAAGTGGAATGCGCGGCAACGGGAACAACTTCCAAGATATCCGCCAAGAAGCAACGTTTCGCCAAGCGTCCTGATAAGAACGCCAATAGGAACTGTCACCAGGAACCTTGGCAGATCACTTATGCTAGCATAAATGTTAAAGCAGGTTTGTGTATGACCTTAACGTGTACACGTACAGGCCACATAAGAAAGGAAGTAGACGATGACATCCTCGTGGGATTTTTTTTAATACTCCGCCGAGCAAAGAGGCCGATATCAACCCGAGAGTCATGGATACTGGGGCAGCAGAATCATTGAATCCAAAGTGCAGTGACAAAATGGCCTGCACAACAGAGCCGAAGCCACCAATAGAGACCGAGCTCAGCGGCAGTTCGCTAGGGGACGAGGAGGGCGGCATCCTACCGTTCATTTCCTATTCGGTGGCTGACGACGAGACCCGTCGAGAGAGAGACCTGCCGGGGAGGACGCGGTCAATGATTTCGCACCCTTCATTCAAAACTAGCCGCGTGCATGCCAACCTCCACCACAGTGAACAACGTCAGCTCAATTACGCAAGTAGTTGGAGCCTCAACAAACGGCTATAGCTATAATCCAGGA